AATAAGTTACTATGTCTGTTTTTGAAGCAATTGACAGCAAAATTTTGGAAGAAATAGTACAGCACCTTAAATCGTCAACCTGCTATCTTGACACATTCCCACAACTTTTTTCAAGTGTGCTTAACTGTTTAGAAGCAGATCAGCAATTGACAGCAAAATTTTGGAAGAAATAGTACAGCACCTTAAATCGTCAACCTGCTATCTTGACACACTTCCCACAACTTTTTTCAAGTGTGCTTAACTGTTTAGAAGCAGATCTCTTAGAAGTGGTGAACGCCTCACTTCTTTCTGGGACTTTTCCAAACTCCCTGAAAACTGCAGTTGATTAGCCCCTTCTGAAAAAGAGCAATCTTGATAACACCATATTGAGCAACTATAGGCCAATATCAAATCTTCCTTTTATAGGCAAGATTATTGAAAAGGTAGTTTTTAAATCAGCTGAACAACTACTTAAACTCAAATGGATACCTAGACAATTTTCAATCTGGTTTTTGACCGCATCACAGCACAGAGATGGCGCTCATTAAGATAATAAATGATATTTGCTTTAATTCTGAATCTGGCAAAATATCAGTGCTGGTACTACTACATCTTAGTGCTGTGTTTGACACTGTTGATCATAACATACTTCTGGAGAGACTGGAAACCTGGGTCGGGCTTTCTGGGATGGTACTCAAATGGTTCATGTCATACTTAGAAGGGAGAGGTTATTATATGAGTATAGGAGAGCATAAGTCTAAGTGGACGTCCATGACATGTGGACTTTTTGTTTCCAGTCAAGACTTGGAGAAACTTGTTCATGCCTTTATCACCAGCAGGGTAGACTATTGTAATGATCTCCTCACTGGCCTTCCCAAGACCATTAGACAGCTGCAGCTCATCCAGAACGCTGCTGGGATTCTGACTAGAACCAGAAAATCTGAGCATATCACACCAGTCCTCAGGTCCTTACACTGGCTTACAGTTATATTTAGGATTGATTTTAAAGTACTTATAAATTACTATTTAAAGTACTCGTTTATAAATCACTCAATGGCCTAGGACCTAAATAAATTGCAGATATGCTCACTGAATATAAACCTAACAGTCCACTCAGATCATTAGGATCAAGTCAGTTAGAAACACCAAGGTTTTACACAAAACAAGGAGTCTGCTTTTAGCTATTATGCCACCTGCAGCTGGAACCAGCTTCCAGAAGAGATCAGATGTGCTAAAACATTAGCCACATTTAAATCCAGACTCAAAACTCATCTGTTTAGCTGTGCATTTATTCAATGAGCACTGTGCTACGTCCAAACTGATTGCACTGTATTTCATATATAATCCTTTTCTATTTTTAACTGTTGTTTAAATCAATTTTTAAATCATTTTAAAAGTTTTTAAATTCGTTGTTTTATTGTTGTGATTATTTTTTATGATTATTTTACTTCCTTTTGTGTAAATCACTTTGAATTACCATTGTGTATGAAATGTGCTATATAAATAAACTTGCCTTGCCTTACTGGGCAAAAGTTGAAAGGACAAAAATAAGTTACTACTGGTCAAAAAAAAAAAAAAAAAGATTTTGATTTTATAATGTTTTTGAAAGAAGTCTCTCATGCTCACCAAGGCTGAATTTATTTGATCAAAAATACAGTAATAAAAACAATAATATTGTGAAATAGTATTGCAATCTAAAATAACTGTTTTCTATTTTAATATATTTTAAACCATAATTTATGCCTGTGATGGCAAAGCTGAATTTTCTGCAGCCACTACTCCAGATCTTCAGTTTCACCTGATCCTTCAGAAATCATTTGGTTTCCACAAAAATATTAAAGGGTATGTTTTGTTATTAGTTTAAGTATTTGTTATTGACTGTTCAAATTCAGAGTTTTGAGCTGCGTAGAGTAACGCGTCAAAAATAGCATCATATGACCCCTTTAAGCAGCAAAAACTGTTTTCAACATTGATAATAATAATAAGAAGAAGAAATATTTCTTGAGCAAAAATTAGCATATTAGAATGATTTCTGAAAGATCATGTGACACTGAATACTGGAGTAATGGCTGCTGGAAATAAGTGGTCACAGGAATAAATTAATACATTTTAAAATATATTAAAAATATAAATAAATGCAGACTTGGTCAGCATAAGCAACATCTTTCAAAAACCTTTTAAAAAATCAATTATCCCAAACTTTTGACTGGAAGTGTAAGCATACCACAGTCTTTTATCTCTGATGTTCACAAGACAACTTACTTAGTCCCTCAAAGTTTTGCTCCGCAGCGCCTTTTCCATTGTCGGAAACTTCCACCAACTCTGTTCCATTGTCTTTTAGCTTGACATCTGTATGAAAACAAAACGCTTGACCAAATGCAGCATAACCTCAAATGCAATGTTTCCTCATGCTGTCATCCCTTGAGCTCACATACATTAGTGGCACCTGCATCAATGCTGTTCTCCACCAGCTCTTTCACAGCTGTGGCCAGGCTCAGCACCACCTGTCCAGAGCAGATCTGATGCACAGACTGTTTGTCTATTGCCTTTATAGCTCCAGCAGAACCTGTGCTAGGAATGTAAAAGTCAGAATATGAAAGGAAGCAGTAGCAACAGTACTGTACAATACTTTAGTAAACAGTACGTCCAGCATAGCAGATAATATCACTAGTCTATTCTTTTGTTATTTTTCGTTGTTATAATGTAGCAAACTACTGAAAAGAATATGCAAAGCAATAAACACTTACCTTGAGTCTGACATTTTTTTCTGGAGCAATATATATGGTATCAGTCACGGAAGCTTAATTTAAGAGTTGCATTCTGGGCGTTTTGATAGCTTTTGCTCCCTGCGGTACTCAGTCAAACAAGAAGCGGGAATTGAATGTGTTTTCATTGCTCAGTGTGAAAAACCAATGCTTCGACAAGGGAGTAGTTCTGATAAACTATAAACTTCAGTATTTCATATATGAAATAAACATGCGCACTCTCTGCCGCTCTGTGGCCGTTTCCCGCGGGGTGACGCACAACGTCAGGTCACCACATGTTTTGCGTAGCATGTGATCATGATCAACGCCTTTACTGTTTCGCCTTTTCGTTTTATTACTTTGTACATAAGTTAATTTGTAACTTAACGCGTCTTATTTTTCCTTTGAAGTATGCTCGGAATGACATTTTCCACAAATGGCTTGATATTCTCATTGTTTGTTGATCGGTTAATTTTATTGACGTATCAGATTGTGAAGCATTGTAATAAAACTAAAGTACCGATTTTAATGTTTTATTTTGAAACATTTCATCATCTTGCGCGTTGTTGCCTGAGTAGGGACTATGTAAAAAGTTCAGATCTAGTATTAGCCGAAAATGACGAAAACATTGTTATTGTCATTGTCTTTTAACCTGTGTTATTTATGGAGAGAAAGGTATGTAGAAACTACAATCAATACATAAATGATTATTCGATTAATGTTCAGATGCATAGTGTCACGAGTTGTTCATCACATCATCAAATGATAGTAATTTAGAGATACTTCCTAACTCCTGTCCGTAGAAACATGGCAGGTTACTGTCGGTTTACAGTGGTATTTTTATTCGGCCAGTTTTAAATCTTGTAAGTGGGGTTTGCCAAATTAAAAGGGCTGGATTTTTAACTTTGGCCCTTCTGAATGGGATGAACAGAAGTGTCTGTTAGCAAAACATCATGTTTCACACAACAGAGAGAGTCATGGCTGAAGAAAGTTCGAGTAGCAGTGCAGTTTCTACTGTTAACAGCCGTAGCTTTCATATCCAACAGGGCCTTTCCACTCAAGACAGAGGACCAAGAGGAGGGATATTCAGCCTGACAGATACGGAGGAGGACGTCCAGTTTGATAGTGAGTCCACTGCAATATTATGTGCAGCCCCTTTCATTCATGAATTTGGGTTTATAAGCCAAGTATTAATGCCATTTACTCTTTTTGTATGTTAATGACATTAAGTATCATGTGGACAATCTGTCAAAGTAGTATGCCTAAATAATTAAATTCAATTAATGCAGTTTTAAGATGTCCCTCCTCCCTAATATTTCTTCTGTGGGATTTCTTAGGGGTGTGGGGGGTAGCTTGAAAATGTTTCAAGCTGATAAGTTACTTAGACCTTACCCACCCCTACTGTACACTCAAGATGCAGCATTGGTATATTTCTATTTGCTCAGCTGTTAAGTGAGTACCATAAATGCTTGGTGTCTACAGTAAATGGAGTCAGAGGAGAATGACATTATGGCTTTAATTGCCAAAGTTATTGCACAAGGTAAGTAATCTCCAATCCAAGTCGTTTTAGACTCAGTTTGGTTAGTTTTCGCTTATTTTGTGAATTTGATATTCAAAAATAGTCAAACATAACAGGCTAGTATTCACCTTTTTATTTGTCATATAAATGCAGCCTCAGACTCGGACAATAACTGTGAAGTGTTGCTGGCGGGGAGACAGTATCCATCGATCCAGGAATTTGCCTCTGTCATTCCCAACCAACTGCTGCTGGGATCTCTACTGGAACACTTGTGCTTTGTTTACGAGCATGATCCTACACGCTCGCGCATGCTGTTTAAGGGTAAGTTGATACTGATACTGATATTTCTGTTATTTGTCTTACAGTTTTTCACATTTTCTAAGACTCTGAACCAAATTCTCAATAGCCAAAACCAATTTGTCAAATAAATCTCTCTTTCTGCAAAACCTTTAACAAGTTCAGGCAGTTTAGACACTGTTTGCAGATCTCATTCACTCTTTTTTGCATAAAAGTTTGGGCATAAAAAGATATACAAAGTTACAAATCTCAAAGTCCACGCCAAAGGGAGATATTTCGTTTTTTTTAAAAATCCCTTTTCAAGAACTACAACAAACGGCTCGTTTGGACTACAGCGCTATTTCCAGGTTTTGTGATATCACAAAGATATCACAAAATAATTCCCGGTTTCCACAAATGGCTTGATATTCTCATTGTTTGTTGATCGGTTAATTTTATTGACGTATCAGATTGTGAAGCATTGTAATAAAACTAAAGTACCGATTTTAATGTTTTATTTTGAAACGTTTCATCATCTTGCGCGTTGTTGCCTGAGTAGGGACTATGTAAAAAGTTCAGATCTAGTATTAGCCGAAAATGACGAAAACATTGTTATTGTCATTGTCTTTTAACCTGTGTTATTTATGGAGAGAAAGGTATGTAGAAACTACAATCAATACATAAATGATTATTCGATTAATGTTCAGATGCATAGTGTCACGAGTTGTTCATCACATCATCAAATGATAGTAATTTAGAGATACTTCCTAACTCCTGTCCGTAGAAACATGGCAGGTTACTGTCGGTTTACAGTGGTATTTTTATTCGGCCAGTTTTAAATCTTGTAAGTGGGGTTTGCCAAATTAAAAGGGCTGGATTTTTAACTTTGGCCCTTCTGAATGGGATGAACAGAAGTGTCTGTTAGCAAAACATCATGTTTCACACAACAGAGAGAGTCATGGCTGAAGAAAGTTCGAGTAGCAGTGCAGTTTCTACTGTTAACAGCCGTAGCTTTCATATCCAACAGGGCCTTTCCACTCAAGACAGAGGACCAAGAGGAGGGATATTCAGCCTGACAGATACGGAGGAGGACGTCCAGTTTGATAGTGAGTCCACTGCAATATTATGTGCAGCCCCTTTCATTCATGAATTTGGGTTTATAAGCCAAGTATTAATGCCATTTACTCTGTTAATGAGTTAATGACATTAAGTATCATGTGGACAATCTGTCAAAGTAGTATGCCTAAATAATTAAATTCAATTAATAAGATGTCCCGATGTCCCTCCTCCCTAATATTTCTTCTGTGGGATTTCTTAGGGGTGTGGGGGGTAGCTTGAAAATGTTTCAAGCTGATAAGTTACTTAGACCTTACCCACCCCTACTGTACACTCAAGATGCAGCATTGGTATATTTCTATTTGCTCAGCTGTTAAGTGAGTACCATAAATGCTTGGTGTCTACAGTAAATGGAGTCAGAGGAGAATGACATTATGGCTTTAATTGCCAAAGTTATTGCACAAGGTAAGTAATCTCCAATCCAAGTCGTTTTAGACTCAGTTTGGTTAGTTTTCGCTTATTTTGTGAATTTGATATTCAAAAATAGTCAAACATAACAGGCTAGTATTCACCTTTTTATTTGTCATATAAATGCAGCCTCAGACTCGGACAATAACTGTGAAGTGTTGCTGGCGGGGAGACAGTATCCATCGATCCAGGAATTTGCCTCTGTCATTCCCAACCAACTGCTGCTGGGATCTCTACTGGAACACTTGTGCTTTGTTTACGAGCATGATCCTACACGCTCGCGCATGCTGTTTAAGGGTAAGTTGATACTGATACTGATATTTCTGTTATTTGTCTTACAGTTTTTCACATTTTCTAAGACTCTGAACCAAATTCTCAATAGCCAAAACCAATTTGTCAAATAAATCTCTCTTTCTGCAAAACCTTTAACAAGTTCAGGCAGTTTAGACACTGTTTGCAGATCTCATTCACTCTTTTTTGCATAAAAGTTTGGGCATAAAAAGATATACAAAGTTACAAATCTCAAAGTCCACGCCAAAGGGAGATATTTCGTTTTTTTTAAAAATCCCTTTTCAAGAACTACAACAAACGGCTCGTTTGGACTACAGCGCTATTTCCAGGTTTTGTGATATCACAAAGATATCACAAAATAATTCCCGGCTATGGAAATTAGAATGGTTGGGGGGTGGGGAGGGGCGAGGTCGTGGTTAGAACGCTTGGTTGAGTGCATCAATACTGGACAATGATGTAATCTGCAGAATTTACACTTCAGTTATGAGACTGTGGTATAAATAAATTCAACTGTATAACAGTTTCACTGCAATTCATGTTAGAATGTTAAAATTAAAGAACAATAAACATAATACATATTACCGTTGCACTTATCTGTACATGGTAAATGCAGTTATTTTTAAGCGGTTTTTGACATCACAGAAGTGTCTGTTAGCAAAACATCATGTTTCACACAACAGAGAGAGTCATGGCTGAAGAAAGTTCGAGTAGCAGTGCAGTTTCTACTGTTAACAGCCGTAGCTTTCATATCCAACAGGGCCTTTCCACTCAAGACAGAGGACCAAGAGGAGGGATATTCAGCCTGACAGATACGGAGGAGGACGTCCAGTTTGATAGTGAGTCCACTGCAATATTATGTGCAGCCCCTTTCATTCATGAATTTGGGTTTATAAGCCAAGTATTAATGCCATTTACTCTTTTTGTATGTTAATGACATTAAGTATCATGTGGACAGTAGTATGTAGTATGCCTAAATAATTAAATTCAATTAATGCAGTTTTAAGATGTCCCTCCTCCCTAATATTTCTTCTGTGGGATTTCTTAGGGGTGTGGGGGGTAGCTTGAAAATGTTTCAAGCTGATAAGTTACTTAGACCTTACCCACCCCTACTGTACACTCAAGATGCAGCATTGGTATATTTCTATTTGCTCAGCTGTTAAGTGAGTACCATAAATGCTTGGTGTCTACAGTAAATGGAGTCAGAGGAGAATGACATTATGGCTTTAATTGCCAAAGTTATTGCACAAGGTAAGTAATCTCCAATCCAAGTCGTTTTAGACTCAGTTTGGTTAGTTTTCGCTTATTTTGTGAATTTGATATTCAAAAATAGTCAAACATAACAGGCTAGTATTCACCTTTTTATTTGTCATATAAATGCAGCCTCAGACTCGGACAATAACTGTGAAGTGTTGCTGGCGGGGAGACAGTATCCATCGATCCAGGAATTTGCCTCTGTCATTCCCAACCAACTGCTGCTGGGATCTCTACTGGAACACTTGTGCTTTGTTTACGAGCATGATCCTACACGCTCGCGCATGCTGTTTAAGGGTAAGTTGATACTGATATTTCTGTTATTTGTCTTACAGTTTTTCACATTTTCTAAGACTCTGAACCAAATTCTCAATAGCCAAAACCAATTTGTCAAATAAATCTGCAAAACCGCAAAACCTTTAACAAGTTCAGGCAGTTTAGACACTGTTTGCAGATCTCATTCACTCTTTTTTGCATAAACATAAAAAAGACAAATCTCAAAGTCCACGCCAAAGGGAGATATTTCGTTTTTTTTAAAAATCCCTTTTCAAGAACTACAACAAACGGCTCGTTTGGACTACAGCGCTATTTCCAGGTTTTGTGATATCACAAAGATATCACAAAATAATTCCCGGCTATGGAAATTAGAATGGTTGGGGGGTGGGGAGGGGCGAGGTCGTGGTTAGAACGCTTGGTTGAGTGCATCAATACTGGACAATGATGTAATCTGCAGAATTTACACTTCAGTTATGAGACTGTGGTATAAATAAATTCAAATGTATAACAGTTTCACTGCAATTCATGTTAGAATGTTAGAATTAAAGAACAATAAACATAATACATATTACCGTTGCACTTATCTGTACATGGTAAATGCAGTTATTTTTAAGCGGTTTTTGACATCGATTTAGCCAAAAAAAACAACAATAACGTTACCACTCTAATATGTCTTGCAATATCCGTACGTGCAAAGGTTTTGCGCGATCCTCTTGTTGAATATTCTCGGGGTCTGAATCCGGCTCAAATTGATATATAGGGATGGGCGTATCGATCCAAAGTATCGATATATCAATACTGCCACGAATATCGAAAGTATCAATACTCGAACAAAAATTAACTATACTAAGGTGTGTTTTATTTACCAGTGATTTTGTTAATTTAACAAACAAAAAAAATGTGTTCAATATGCATTGATTTGGACGAATAACCTTGAACAGAAGTGTCTGTTAGCAAAACATCATGTTTCACACAACAGAGAGAGTCATGGCTGAAGAAAGTTCGAGTAGCAGTGCAGTTTCTACTGTTAACAGCCGTAGCTTTCATATCCAACAGGGCCTTTCCACTCAAGACAGAGGACCAAGAGGAGGGATATTCAGCCTGACAGATACGGAGGAGGACGTCCAGTTTGATAGTGAGTCCACTGCAATATTATGTGCAGCCCCTTTCATTCATGAATTTGGGTTTATAAGCCAAGTATTAATGCCATTTACTCTTTTTGTATGTTAATGACATTAAGTATCATGTGGACAGTAGTATGTAGTATGCCTAAATAATTAAATTCAATTAATGCAGTTTTAAGATGTCCCTCCTCCCTAATATTTCTTCTGTGGGATTTCTTAGGGGTGTGGGGGGTAGCTTGAAAATGTTTCAAGCTGATAAGTTACTTAGACCTTACCCACCCCTACTGTACACTCAAGATGCAGCATTGGTATATTTCTATTTGCTCAGCTGTTAAGTGAGTACCATAAATGCTTGGTGTCTACAGTAAATGGAGTCAGAGGAGAATGACATTATGGCTTTAATTGCCAAAGTTATTGCACAAGGTAAGTAATCTCCAATCCAAGTCGTTTTAGACTCAGTTTGGTTAGTTTTCGCTTATTTTGTGAATTTGATATTCAAAAATAGTCAAACATAACAGGCTAGTATTCACCTTTTTATTTGTCATATAAATGCAGCCTCAGACTCGGACAATAACTGTGAAGTGTTGCTGGCGGGGAGACAGTATCCATCGATCCAGGAATTTGCCTCTGTCATTCCCAACCAACTGCTGCTGGGATCTCTACTGGAACACTTGTGCTTTGTTTACGAGCATGATCCTACACGCTCGCGCATGCTGTTTAAGGGTAAGTTGATACTGATATTTCTGTTATTTGTCTTACAGTTTTTCACATTTTCTAAGACTCTGAACCAAATTCTCAATAGCCAAAACCAATTTGTCAAATAAATCTCTCTTTCTGCAAAACCTTTAACAAGTTCAGGCAGTTTAGACACTGTTTGCAGATCTCATTCACTCTTTTTTGCATAAAAGTTTGGGCATAAAAAGATATACAAAGTTACAAATCTCAAAGTCCACGCCAAAGGGAGATATTTCGTTTTTTTTAAAAATCCCTTTTCAAGAACTACAACAAACGGCTCGTTTGGACTACAGCGCTATTTCCAGGTTTTGTGATATCACAAAGATATCACAAAATAATTCCCGGCTATGGAAATTAGAATGGTTGGGGGGTGGGGAGGGGCGAGGTCGTGGTTAGAACGCTTGGTTGAGTGCATCAATACTGGACAATGATGTAATCTGCAGAATTTACACTTCAGTTATGAGACTGTGGTATAAATAAATTCAACTGTATAACAGTTTCACTGCAATTCATGTTAGAATGTTAAAATTAAAGAACAATAAACATAATACATATTACCGTTGCACTTATCTGTACATGGTAAATGCAGTTATTTTTAAGCGGTTTTTGACATCGATTTAGCCAAAAAAAACAACAATAACGTTACCACTCTAATATGTCTTGCAATATCCGTACGTGCAAAGGTTCTGCGCGATCCTCTTTTTCAATATTCTCGGGGTCTGAATCCGGCTCAAATTGATATATAGGGATGGGCGTATCGATCCAAAGTATCGATATATCGATACTGCCACGAATATCGAAAGTATCAATACTCGAACAAAAAATAACGATACTAAGGTGTGTTTTATTTACCAGTGATTTTGTTAATTTAACAAACAAAAAAAATGTGTTCAATATGCATTGATTTGGACGAATAACCTTTGTTAGCGAGTAATTGTGTAGGATAGAACTATTTTCCTGCTCATCTGGACACGCAAATGTTGCAAGACAGACCTAATCAATCAGAGAGAGCGTTCACTCACTTCTGACAGTGCATTCAAACAGGGCTGCATCTCCCAAAAGTATCATAAGAAAGCATTAAAGCTTTTGGGAACGGCAGCCCTGAGCAATGCTTATCAGAGGACAGAAGGACAGAGTTATTTCACAATAAACAAACTGAAATTGTAGCCTACATAGTTTGTGCAATTACAGTTATTTAAATTGAACATGGAAAGATAATATAGATCATGTTCTATTCTGCAATGTTAATAGAAATCATACATTGTCAGAATAAAAAGGTTGCATTTTATGCATGCAACAGCCGGTCACTGGCAGTCCCTTATGAAAATGAACCATGGTTTTACTAAAGTGACCATAGTTCAACTGTAGTATTTATAGATTTGAATCATGTGTAAACAATAAAACATATTTGAACCATGTGTAAACAAAAATATAACTTAATAAGTTACAATTAAGGCATATTGAATGTTAAAATGCCTTTTAAACATAAAGTTAAGTGCTTATCATTACCCATTTTACTCTTAATAATTTAATACATTTCATAATTTAAAAGTTTAGTTCAGAAGTATCGAATCGGTATCGATATCGATGATACTGCCTTGAAAAATATCGGTATCGTATTGAAAACAAAATAAGCGGTATCGCCCATCCCTATATGGCACACACAATAATTAAAAATTGTTCACGCTTGCTTTAATCTGAGAGGTAGAGGAAGAGTGCTTATATGAGCTGAAGGGAGAGATGGACGAGGAAGAGCAAGATTAAGAACAGTTTTTTCAGATGAAATTAGAGCTACTGTTATAGACCATGTTCTTTTGCATGGAATGACAGAGGGAGCACAAAGAGTTCAACCTAATTTGAGCAGATTCTCTGTGGCTACCATAATCAGTTGGAAAGTTCAAAAGAACAACAAAAGAAGTGTGGAAGAGAATATTGTGTAGAATTGTAAGACTACTACGTTAGGGTGGAAGAACAGGCCTGTGGTAGACGTGCTGTCTTATCAAGGCTGCATCCACCACATCAGAGGGTTTTTTTCCCCATTGCCTGCCTGCAACATAGATTAAGTCCTCCTACACACACACACACACACACATTTGGATTTGTGTTTAAGGTTTTGAGAAACTGAGTGATGGTTTCAAGAAATGTGTTTTAGCAATTCAGAAAAACTGTAAATTTAGTTTTCTTGAATACCTTCTGTTTCAGTGATAGGCCAGCGTTTAGCTGCCATGAACCTCCTGTCTCCACTGGCTATCAGTGAGGAGTTTAGTACCGTCAGACTACAGCATAACCGGGCATTCACAGAGCTCCTGCATGCGACCAGCTCATCACTCTTCCCCCAGGTAATCCAACAGAATTCATCATCGATTTCATTTTTCTTAATGAGGTCTATCCAGCTGTTGCTTTCATGAACAAAAACGGGAAAAAAAGACCTGTTTATCTTTTGGATTCTGCAGGAACATAGATACTTGAGTACAGAAGGCCAGAACCTAAGGTGAAAACTTTTACACTTGTAGCAGCTCCACTTACATTACTTTGTAATACAGTACTGTTCAAAGGCTTTGGGTCAAATGGGATCTGATTTTTTAATGTTTATGAAAGAATCTCTTATAGTCACAAAGGCTGCATTTATTTGTACATTAATATGTTTTAAAATGTAATTTAATCCTGTTTTCAGCAGCCATTACTCTAGTCTTCAATATCACACAATCCTTTAGAAATCATTCTAATATGCTGATTGGGTGCTCATAAAATATATCAATGGTAAAAAAAATCAAATGTGCTTCTTAATATTTTTGTGTAAATTTTGATTCTTGTTTAATTATTATTTATTTAAAGTTCAAAAGAACAGCATTTATTTAAAATAGAAATGATAATTTGTAACATCATTTATGTTTTTACTGTCACTTTTGATCAACTTAATGCATGTATATATATGCTGAATAAAAGTCTTACTGACCCAAAACTTTTGAATGGTAGTGCACAGTACATTAACATTTAAAATAACTGAGATATACTTATCTATTCTAGAACCAAAGATGGTCTTTTCCAAGCACAGACATCCCGTTACCTTAGTGAATTTGAAGAAACTGCAACACTGGGTAAAGGATCCTATGGCAAAGTGTTTAAGGTAAGAAGATGTTATGATCATATCGTACTCCAAATATTCTAAACACTTGACTTTGAAAGGTGCATACTGAAAACAGTAACACTGTTTTAGGTCATAAACAAGCTCGATGGCCAGGAATATGCAGTGAAAAAAATTCTCATCAAGAAAGTAACAAGAGATGACTGCATGAAGGTAAAGTATGTCACAGATTCAGTTATTATAGTAGCAATTTACCCACCAAATCTATATGATTTGGAGATAATATACCTTATTGCGTCTGTTTTTATCTCCTTGCAGGTTCTTAGAGAGGTTAAAGTGCTCTCCAGCCTTCAGCATCCCAATATTGTTGGATATCACACAGCATGGATGGAGCATGTTCAGCCTGCAGTGAAAAGTAAGTAGCTGTATTGATGTGCAGATATATCCATTTGAATCATGCTTTGCTTTTATTCAGTATTTTCTTGAGCATAAAGAAAAATGATACAAGCATGTAGTTTTCTGTTTTACTCACTAGATCCAAAATCCCTTGTTTCACAAACATTTCCAGCATTAGAGAAACCTTTACAGAAAGATGGGTAAGATGATTTGGACATTTTTCCCCCAACACAATTGACTAATTGTAACATGTTCTCAATAGCATATAAAAATGTGTCTTGCTTCAGGTGCACACAGGAAAACACTAACAGCAGCAATGGATCGTCCATTGTTTTTGAACATTCTGAACAAGCAGAAGCCAAAGAAAATCAGGTTGCATTAGAGAGCCTCTCAGTGAAACCCTCAACTTTAAAAGAAGAGATGGGACATGCTGTTTGCCCAAAAAATGTCCACAACCCACAAAACTTTGTTCCATGTGTGTTTCTGGGAAAGCCTCGTGCTACAGTGAACAAATGCCCCGCATCTAAATGGGACAGCTCAACACTCTCAGAGGATGACCTCAGTCAAAACAGACTGGAATTGAACAATAACTCTTCCATTGATACGGATGCTCCTGAATGGTCCGAAACGCAGGCACACGAGGTATGTGATTCATGAAACCCTGAATGTAACCATTTATTTAAATGAGAAATAATTATTTTGTAATGTTTTATTTTTCATCAGTTTTTCTCTTTCCTGTCTATAGGTTCAGTTCCACTTGATGCTTTATATACAAATGCAGCTGTGTGAGCGATCTTTGAAAGACTGGATACAGGAAAGAAACTCAAGGATCACAGAGGGACTCTTGATGTCAGTAGGTAAGATCACTTTATTCATGAGTTTACATAGGAGTTTGCACTTTTTTCTTTAAATGCCATTAAATAGGTATTTTTTGGAAGTATGTCTTATAAATTGCTCAGATTCCCTTCCTTTATATAACATTTATATAATAAATATAGAAGTCACTTTATATACACCCTTTTCCTGTTTTTGCGTTGGATGACTCATTGGCTGAACAGGAAAGACAAGAAAAGCTGATCTCCAGAATTTTTTGGACATACAATCACAATTTTTTTAACATTCAGTCACAGCATATAATTGTATTGTTGGATTATTTTAGCATTTTTTAACCCATACATTGATCCACAGATCCTTGTGAGTCAATTGACTCTGAACACGCATTGAACATTTTAAAGAAAATACTTGAAGGAGTGGAGTACATTCATTCCCGTGGTATTATGCATAGAGACCTTAAGGTATGTGTACTTATTATGTTGGCGTGCATAACTTGGTATTGTTCACCCCACATACTGTATATCTAGTACATGTCTGGCTTGGAACTGTATATGCATTAGTCTACTTGGGAGGAGGCCTAGTGTTTTGATAACAGATATTTGGCTGGTGTGGCACAACAATTTGCAAAGTAGGTTGAACTTTTGCAAAGCAACAGATAATCTCTCTCCTGAGGTAGTGAGCTTGTTGATGTCTGACATTATTTAGTAGGCAAATGGCTTGTCCTTTTCACCATTTCAAACCTTGTGCTTTGTTTACAGATCCATTTTGTAATGCTTAACCCATAAGTGTTGGCGCCGATAGCCTCGCAGTTAGTGTGCCGACTTATACAGTGCATCTGTGCTCACGGCTACCCAAGTTCAATTACCGTCTCGAGGTCCTATGTCAATCCCGCTCCCCTCGCTCTACCCAGTGCTTTCCTTTCATTTCTCTAGTGTCCTGTCTGAATAATAAAGGAATAAAAAGCCCAAAAATATAACATACATTGATCCACAGATCCTTGTGAGTCAGTTGACTCTGAACACGCATTGAAAATTTTAAAGAAAATACTTGAAGGAGTGGAGTACATTCATTCCCGTGGTATTATGCATAGAGACCTTAAGGTATGTGTACTTATTTTGTTGGCGTGCATAACTTGGTATTGTTCACCCCACATACTGTATATCTAGTACATGTCTGGCTTGGAACTGTATATGCATTAGTCTACTTGGGAGGAGGCCTAGTGTTTTGATAACAGATATTGGGCTGGTGTGGCACAACAATTTGCAAAGTAGGTTGAACTTTTGCAAAGCAACAGATAATCTCTCTCCTGAGGTAGTGAGCTTGTTGATGTCTGACATTATTTAGTAGGCAAATGGCTTGTCCTTTTCACCATTTCAAACCTTGTGCTTTGTTTACAGATCCATTTTGTAATGCTTAACCCATAAGTGTTGGCACCGATAGCCTCGCAGTTAGTGTGCCGACTTATACAGTGCATCTGTGCTCACGGCTACCCAAGTTCAATTACCGTCTCGAGGTCCTATGTCAATCCCGCTCCCCTCGCTCTACCCAGTGCTTTCCTTTCATTTCTCTTCCTTTTCACCATTTCAAACCTTGTGCTTTGTTTACAGATCCATTTTGTAATGCTTAACCCATAAGTGTTGGCGCCGATAGCCTCGCAGTTAGTGTGCCGACTTATACAGTGCATCTGTGCTCACGGCTACCCAAGTTCAATTACCGTCTCGAGGTCCTATGTCAATCCCGCTCCCCTCGCTCTACCCAGTGCTTTCCTTTCATTTCTCTAGTGTCCTGTCTGAATAATAAAGGAATAAAAAGCCCAAAAATATAACTTAAAAAATTACCCATGACAATTTCTTTATTCTATTTACTGATCTTGATACCTCTTGACAGTCAGCATGGCATTTAACAGAATCAACTATTTCAAAATAAAATTAGTTGCAGATAGTCACTTTGACAAACACTGTTATTGTCCTTTATAAACCAACTCTTTATCTGTTTGTCACAGTATGGTAACACAGTATTTCTCATGCATCTCTTCTGGATACTTTGTCTCATAAGCATGAATTGCTTTCTCAGAAATATTTTTAATCTATATAATATTAAGCCTGAATACCACTTGGATCTGCACACATTTTTTAATAACCAAAAGGCAAGAACACATAGTTACCTTTGAAATTCCAAAACAAATGTAATGATTCTTATGTGATTAATATGTTAAAATGGTTTAACATAATAATTTTGGATATTTATTACTGTGGATGTTCTATTTGTGTAGTAATAAAAATATAAAAAATGCTTTTAGTGTCCGTTTGTTGCAAGTTAAAATGCATATTTCTTTACAGCCGAGAAACATTTTCCTTCATGGACCGGAGTGTCATGTGAAGATCGGGGACTTTGGATTGGCTTGCCGGAACTTAATAATGGATGAACATGAGCAGCTGCCCTCCAGCTCTCAAGCAGGTGTAAACACAGGTGAGACCTCTTCTGTATTCACAAGAGTAAACGACAGTTATTTTAGTTAAACTATTTTAGTTAAACTACTACATTTGTTGCAAAACTACTGCTGATTTATTGTCAGGTAACAGTAGGTGGCAGCAGTGATTTAATGCAACCTTGCAACATAGCCTAATTTCTCGTTGCACTTTTTACACTAGACTCAGCTCACACTAGTGGAGTAGGAACTTTTGTTTACGCTGCCCCAGAACAACTTGAGGGTTCTCACTATGATTCAAAGGTAAGGAAACTGTAAAGTTACAAACTGTTATAATGTAAAGTCTACTGTTTTTTGAGCTGTACTTCAGTGTGTGGCTGTTGCATCTTAGGCACATATGCTCAGTGTTTGTTTCATTTGTACAGTCAGATCTGTACAGTATAGGAGTGATTGCGTTTGAGTTATTCCATCCATTTGGGACCGAGATGGAGCGTGTGCACACACTTGGAGAACTACAGCAGTGCAAGATCCCTAACATGCTGTCCAAAAACTGGCCACTTTTGGCCAAGTATATCACCCTATTGACCAGCACTGATCCTTCAATGCGACCAAGTGCATCTCAGTTACTTCAGAGTGACCTCCTCTGCACCAATGACATGGTATGTGTGGCTCTAATGTTTTTTTTTTACCCCCAAAATGGAACAAAAATCAAATGTTCATGTATATTCACATTTTAGTTACTTTAGCTGCTTTGAGAAATTTTTTTTGTTTATCTTTTAACTTTGTTTGTATTCTTTATTTTAGGTTGTTCACAGTTTGAAACGCAAGATTGATGAACAAGAACAGGAAATTGTTCAGCTCAAGAGACAGATCAGTGAGCTACGGATCTCTCAAAATGCAATACACAGTCCAGAAAATATATAATAATAGTAACTCTTTTGAACTGCCATAAGTGCTCAATATTTGTACGTTATGTGAATTGTTATTTGGAGATGGTTGTATGTGTGAGGTCTGCTCTGCTTGTATGTATATAAAAGAGTGCCATATTTAACTTGACAAGAGGTTTGTAAAGTAAAGTCCCATGCCAATGGTGCATTAGTCTCCATTTATCTGACTCTTTAAAGCTGAGTAAATAGTACCTCAATAGTATTCTTAATATTCACAACTATTGCTCAATTATCATGAATATTAACAATACCCCAAGGTCATAGATAAGGCTACAAAACTTATTTTAGCAAGATAATTAGTCATCAGTCACTGTTATTGTCCTTTATAAACCAACTCTTTATCTGTTTGTCACAGTATGGTAACACAGTATTTCTCATGCATCTCTTCTGGATACTTTGTCTCATAAGCATGAATTGCTTTCTCAGAAGTATTTTTAATCTATATAATATTAAGCCTGAATACCACTTGGATCTGCACACATTTTTTAATAACCAAAAGGCACGAACACATAGTTACCTTTGAAATTCCAAAACAAATGTAATGATTCTTATGTGATTAATATGTTAAAATGATACACGTGTGTATACATACATATATATATATATATATACACTAATGACATGTTCCTACAAAAATATGTAATGCAAAAATTTATATTTACGATGACTTCATTACATTTTAAATTGAATTATTAATGCATTTCAGTGCTATCATATCACTAAAATAACTTTTGTAGCCTTATCAATGACCTTGGTATTTTTAATATTCATGATAATGACGCAATATATGATACTAAAGCCGCACAATTTAAAATGTAAATGAGAAATAACACAATGAGACTTACATAAGAAAAAAAAAATAATGTTCATGGTGGATACTGACTGAGATGCCCCAACCTACCGTACGATCCACCAATACCCATTACCAAACGCCTCTACAGTAATATAAATGTGTACGAAACACTACTTCTCTGAATTTATCCACGGAAACTATTTAAATCGTTATTGTAAAAGCGATTCTTTCTTGGTCGACAAGTTGACTGCAACAAAGACATTCAACTGCTTTGACGGCCGCGTTCAATAAGGCCACATCCACACAACACTGGGTTGGCTGACATTACGAAAGTACCCGGATGGATCCGTGGGGAAACTACGTCATTGTTCACCGCCGGACGCTCTTTGGATTTTAGAATGGATGAACTCATTTAAATTAATCATAAATTTACAGGTACGTGTATTATTTGATTTAAATATCACATTTGATTGCTGCAGGTGATTTTTGGAGTGCGCGTTGTGTGGTTTGCGTTTATTGCGTGGCACGAAATTGAAAACACCGGGTTTCGCAATGAGTCTTTCAGCGGCGTTGCCTTCTCGGCCAAGGCACCGGTGAATTTCAAATACCGTGCCCCTCCTTTCGACCTGTTTTCGATTAAAATCGAAATTTGGCTAATGAAATTTAGTACTGTTGTCTTGTTTATGTTTGTGAGGGGACACACCACATGTATCAACATCTTCTTGATTCACAGACGGGCTTCTCGAAGTGCGTGGCCGTGTTCATGCCGCGTTCCATCGGTATTGTTAAGTTTCGCCGTTACCATGGCGTTTGTAGCTACAACACAGCGCTCTTTAAATCAGTCATAACTTCTCGCGCCAACAAAAAAGATGTCTAGCCAGTTAGATTTCACTGACAAGTATTTCACATTCTTTTAATACCACTACAAATAAATTCATTCATAGTGTTTTGTGTATAAATAACGTGCGGCAGAGGCCTATCTCACACGCGAAGCCTTTAGCCGAGCACGCTAGATCAGTGGTTCCCAACCCTGGTCCTGGAGGCAGCCCAACACTGCTCGTTTTGCATGTCTCCTTAATCAAACACACCTGATTCAGGTCATCAGCTCATTAGTAGAGACTTCAAGACCTGAAATTGGTGTGTCAGAGAAAGGAGACATGCAAAACGAGCAGTGTTGGTGGCTGCAGGACCAGGGTTGGGAACCACTGCGCTAGATAACAGTTGGCGGACGTGCGGAGAGAGTGTGTACTACAGGATAATTTCCTCATGCAAAATCACACGGAACCGCCTCTGTAGTTGTTGAACTGTGTTTTAAGTGTTAGGTCTGACGACCTAATCGAAGGTACACACATTTTACAGAGGTTTTATTGTGGAACGTGTTGGTGTGACAGTTTACTGTAAACTATAGCTATCGTGAATTAAAAAAAAAAAAAGCAACACAGCCACAGTGCTTTTTTGCTGGAGCTAAGCGATAAAGAATGGTCCAGGATGATTTATAACATGGACCACTGATCTTTTGTTCTTATCCTCAGGGATTGGAAAGCATTTCAGATTTGGAAGTCAAGAAGATGCTCATGAGTTCTTGAGGTACACGGTGGATGCTATGCAAAAGTCCTGCCTGCCTGGAAACAAGTGAGTTCCCACAATGCAGTTTTGTTTGCCAGTTTACTAGCATTATAAGGCAAGAAATAAACATTTCTTCATTCATCAGTGCATTAACTGTAATGACTGCAAACTTCAATAACTTCATTATTTTGATTAATTGTCAGATTGGACAGGCAAACTCAGGCAACCACTTTTGTACATCAGATATTTGGGGGTTATCTGAGATCCAGAGGTAGGTCATACGATTTGTGTTTGTTTTGATTTGGTTTAAGGTTAATTTTATTCTTTCTGAGTTGCACATATGGTCTATAAAAACACACCTTTAAATTTAGTGTCTTGAAGTTTGATTTATTTTATATGTATGTTTTCTATAATTTGTGCAATGATTGAATATTTAATCTGTGTTCCAGATACATCTGTTGGTACATTTAATGCACATTTCTTTTTCACAGTCAAATGTTTGAATTGCAAAGCAGTTTCTGATACCTTTGACCCATTCCTGGATATTTCACTGGAGATAAAGGTGACCAAATGTTTTCTTGACACAAATTTATCTTACAGCTGAAGCAAGTAATTTTTAACATGGCTACAATAATGATAACTTTTTGAATGTTTATTTGCAGACGGCTCAGACACTCAGTAAGGCTTTTGAGCAATTTGTTAAGCCTGAGCAACTTGATGGGGACAATGCTTATAAATGCTCCAAGTAAGTTTTCCGTGCATATTAACACCACATCATTGTTTTACCCAAATTCAATTGTGTGTACAGTTACCATGCATTTGAAGTCATGCATTGACCACTCTTGACAAGGGCCTTCTTTCAGTTGTAACCTGTTTTATGACTTTTGTTTCTTCTAAATAGAATAGTGCATTTAGAGACCAAATCATGTGTCCATGTGGAATTGTTTTATTTTTATATTTTCATTTTCACTCAATTTATAGTAATATTCTTTTGTCTTGGCAGATGTAAGAAAATGGTTACCGCCTCAAAGAGATTCACCATACATCGGAGTTCTAATGTTCTCACCATCTCATTAAAGCGGTTTACCAACTTCAGTGGAGGAAAAAGTACAAAGGTAAACTGCATAAAGGTCATAAGACAAAAGTTAATTTTATAGCTGCATGCTAAGATACTGGACGAACTGGTGTGACCAGATCAATCATTCATATTTTTGAGGTGTTGTCTTGTTGCAGGACCTGTAATAGGGCTAGGTCAATGTGCTTAAATGTATTCAATACATTTTTAACAGCATTAAAATGTCATCAGTTAATGCATTAATTTTGGCAGCCTTAAATATGATTATTCTTAATCCTTCACAGGATGTGAGATACACAGAGTATCTAGATTTGCGCCCATTCATGTCTCAGTCACATGGGGACCCACAAATCTATGCTCTGTATGCTGTGCTGGTTCATTCTGGCTTCAGTTGCCATGCTGGACACTATTACTGCTACATTAAGGTAAGTCATCAAGTACAGACCTGCATCCTCTTTATTATGTGCTTACAACATAATATATGTATGATTAATTTGATCCTCTATTTCAGGCTAGCAATGGGCAGTGGTATCAGATGAACGACTCATCGGTATCTCTCAGCGACATAAGAACAGTGCTTAATCAGCAAGCTTATTTGCTGTTCTACATCAGGTAAAGGTCTTTATTCACTTCCCATAACTTAAGTGGGTAATTTGAGTTTTTGGCACTAAGGGTGAGTCTCATCAGTAAAACGCTTATTTTAATTTAGGTCACCTGATGCAAAAAATGGAAGTGATTTTAGCCAGATGAATCATACTCCAGGCCAGTCATCTCCTCGACCATCCATTCCAGTCAAGATGAATGGGCCTCAGTACACCTCCACATCCTTCATTGGCCCTCAGCTGCCACCTCATATGCTAAAGGTACTGCAAGACAATAACGCATTCAAACAAATTACAATGGTTCAGCAAATTAGCCTTAAAGCTAAGCTAGGTTTGCTGCTTCTCTTCACCTTTTCACTCTGTGTACTTTGCAGAACTCGTCGTACATAAACGGGAACGGTTCTTCAAAGGAATACCATGGTGGCTCCAAACCCAACAGAAGTTTCTGTGGTGTGACCAAATTAGGCTCTGGCCTATCTCATACGTCCTCTTCTGCATCCGCATCCTCTTCTACTTCACTTGTTCGGCCCATGGGCATTCCTGACTCATCCAAGAGGCCGAAGTTGACATTTATCATTGGTCAGAACAAACCTGTGAGACCTACTCAGACCCAGTCAAGCCCTAACTGCTCTTTATCTTCAGCCTCTCACCCTCAGCCCACATCTTCTAGCACCTCAGTGTCTACCTCAGGCTTCTCACAGGTCAATGGAACTCACACTCGAGCTTCTTTCTTGGTTCCTTATGGTCCGGAATCATCAGAGGAATCCGACCAAGAGGCTGGAGCCATGGAGAACGGATCAGTTAAGCCTTATCTTGCTCCTAAGATAACCAATGGGAATGGGGTAAAGGATGACACCCAGTCCCACAATCCCAGTTCACTGCCTCTGCTTACCCCGAAGACAAATGGATCTAATGGCTTTCCAGAGTTACATGTGCGTGAAAATGGATCAGGACCTGCCCACAAATCCCAGAATGGCCTTCCCAAAGCCAATGGTTTTAATCATGCTGAAAAGGTACATACTTCAAATAAGGGCGGCACGATTAATCGAAATTAAATTGCAAAGTCGATAAATCGTGATTTGGCAGAAGCTGTGATTGCCATGTGTATTTTTCAGTGAAGCACGGTTCTGTGATCAGCAGTTAAATCTCCATTCGAAGGCTAGAGGGCGCTCTTGCGCTTAAACTCCAAATACGCCTCGCAGAAGAAACTCAGGAAATCCCTATAGCAGCAGCTGAATAAACAGAAGATTTAACTGCTTTCATTGATTCAACGTGACTAATAAACACACGACTACGACAATATATGGTTTATCTGAGTTCGTTTTATTATAATAAAGTATCTAATAATGCAGTGCTAATCGACATAGCCTTTATCACTGCTTAGAATACTATGAAATATGTTGCGTGCCTTATTCTGTGTAAGAAGCCACATCTCACAGAAGGATTTATTTCAAACACTCGACGTTATGAAGTGAGTTTGGAGTAAAAACATGTTATTAAATGTGGTATTTTAAAGTACCTTTAGATGGAGCAGCATTTACTACACGGAGCCGTAGTTCACTGACAAGCTAAGCAAACAGCTTTCATAATCGCAGAACGATTTCTTAGATTTCATAATCGCATGATTAAATTGTCTGCGATTTATGAACGTGATTTTGCGTAGCTTGTCAGTGAACTACGGCTCTGTGTAGTAAATGCTGTTCTATCTGAACGCACGTGCTGGAGATTTACTACTAATCACAGAACCGGCTTTACTGACAAGATGCGCATGACAATCACATTCGATTAATCGTGCAGCCCTACTTCAAATGTAAATTTTTGGCCTGTATATATTTCCCCCTGAATTTTTTGTTTGTTTGTTTTTGCTAAAGAAGAGTGTTTTATTCCTTTTTTCAGGTTGTGGGTGCGCCACATTCTTCATCACAGATTGCTAATCAATCTAATAGTTCAGACATGCAATTCAGCTTAAAGCCTGGAAACAGTGAGTCAAGGTGAGATGCTCAAACACCACAATCTGTGTCTTGTTTTTATTATTTAACGGTTGTGTTGTTTGATCTCGTAATGAATATCCATGTTTCATAATGTACACTGCTTTGATGCCTAAATGTACTTGTAGCCAGTGTTATTTTAGAAATATTTACTATTATAGTTATTATCAATACTTTGAATTAGCTTTTTATTTTTGTTATCAGTTTTCGTTTTAATTTTGTTATGTTTTAGTTTTTATCTTAGTTTTAGTACTTCAACTTAAGCAGTTTTTTTTTCAGGTGGTTGCCAAGGCAGCATATCTAATTTAAGTTTTTCATCTAATATTTGTTTTATTTTAACATTATTTAATTTAACAAATGTAATTTGTACAAGTTTTCATGATTAACAATAACGACTGCTTGTAGCATTTAGAATGATCAGTTTAGAATAGAATTTTAAGTAGGACTGTGCCGGTTATAGCTGCCCCACCACCACCACAGAGTACCACTGGCTGTGGTACTGCAAAACACATTTTTGTGCATATGATTTGTTTTTTTTGTTTGTTTGTTTTTTTTGCCGTGAATAGTAGACCAAGAATGAAGTACAAAACCTTATTTACAAAATAAATAATTGGTTAGCAGACAGATGGTACATCGCGACAGGGTCCTGCGGCCCACGGATACCCTACGGGTGAGCGGCTAATATTTGATGTAACGGGTGGAATAATATTTGTTGCGTGTATTGGTGAGACAGGTAACCGACACGGGGCAGGTAGTGGGTCCAATAGCCAAGACTAATTTGACTCTATCCAGTACAAGCTGGTAGGCAGCTGCTTTCAAACGGTCCCATGCTTGTGTTCATGCTCTGTCTGAAGCCCGTTAAAGGCCCTGTGATGTAATTTACAGTATGCGCAATTAAAAAAAAATAATAGATTGTTCACATGATGTAAGCAATAGTTTTATATTGTTTACACCATAGATGTTGTGTGCGCGCTCTCTCTTTTTTTTATTTATTTTTTTTTGTTAAAGGTGCAATAGGTGATTGTCTTCAGAAACATTTTTTGTTATGCTGGTTGAAAGTCTCTTCACATCCCAATAGCAATCATTAAGTTAAGTGGTCTAAATGTATTTATATATTCTGTGGAAGGCATAGGACCAAGAAATGTTCATCCAATCAAAATGCTCGGTCCGAGCGTTTTAATTGGCTTTCCTACCTGCCTGTCAACGTATGTATTAGCATACCTCTGTGCACCGGGTTTGCGCAGGCAGGATACGTCATCAGCGTGCTCACGCACACTGTGCAGACAGAGCGAGAATGGCAGACAAACATCAACAACCCGATCTTCCTTCCTGGTATTGTAGTACTTTTAATGTTTTCTCACCGGTGAATGACACATGATGTAGCCCAGTGGTTCCCAATTCCAGTCCTCGCGCCAAAATGCATATTTTGCATGTCTCGCTTAGTTAACACACCTGATTCAGATAACCAGCTCATTAGAAGTGAGCTACGTGCATGAACTGTGTTCCGATCTATATGCACCCTACACAGTGTTCATTGCTCCCTACTCCCTGAGCAGGGGAAATCCGTTTGCTTCACTTCGGAACATGGGCTGGAATTGGGAACCGCTGATGTAGCCTATTGTAGTAATGTTGTCTCTTGTATTCTGGTCTGTGAGCGTATATGCGTTCAGGGGGCATGGCTTTGGACTGTGATTGCAGGAAGGGTGGGACGTTCGCTTTCAGTGCTATCAGGCTAAAGTTAGCATTTTCCAAGATCTCCTACTGCACCTTTAACATGTTGATCTGTGTGTCAACATGTTTTTGTTTTTTTCTTAAATGCCTTAACTCAGAATGACTAATGGTTTATTGCTTGTTACATGAGAAAATAGTTTTGTTTACCTCATGCAGGAGATTTCCTACTTTGTTCTGTTTTGTGGGCTGGTAACTCGAATTGTGACAAAGTATTATTAGCCTTTTAGAAATGTAAAACTTATTATTTATTTTTTTTTCGTTAAATGTCGGTCTACACAACAGGTGATTTGTTGACAATTGAGACATTACTGGTCACATTATGCACGGGTTATTTTATAGAAACTTTTAGGTTACAGCCTATGGGCCATTTGTTTTTTTTGGCCATAAAATAAAAAATGCTTAACAGTATCGGCCCTAACTTAAATATCAGTATATACCTAGTTATTACTTTTTAGAATTGGCGAGTTTCTGATGGACTAAACCGTCTTTAGGTTTTCTTCATTAATTCATTTATTTATCCATCCAGCAGCTCCAAACCACCAAGTACTGATGGCCAGACGTGTTTCTCGCCTTCAAGAAAAAGTATGAAACCTTCTTCAGACTCTTCATCTCAGTCTGCTTCACAGGTACAGTCTGCATCTTCATCTGATGCATCATTAGTCTCAAAGACTACAGACACTGACCTTCATGCCCAGACAGCTTCAAAAGATGAGCTGATTCAGGGCCATGACACCCATGCAGAGGCTGGCATGTCAGGTCTTCAGGGCAACAACAGTCTCAGCCTTCATATTGGTGATGGTCATACAAGTCCACACAGGTTAACGGAAGAGTTCAGGTGCAGTGAAGGAGAAAGCAAAGAGTCAAAGCCATCACACTTAGACAAGTTTAGCTCTGGAGATAGACAGAGCGATGACCGGAATAGGGTTTTAGAGCGCCCACAATTTTCTTCAACTGTGAAAGACGGGGACCGGTACAGACACTATAGGGAATACAACGAAAGAAGCCGGAGGTCTTATGGTCATGGCAATCGTGAGAGTCGTCCCTTTAGAGAGCGTTCCACCAGTAGAGACCGGCATCACAGAGATCACTGGGACAGATTCTCACATCACCGTAGAGAGCACCACTATTCCCAAAGAAGACCCAGAGAGGAACGCGAACGGAGTAGGGATAGGAGATTTGTGAATGACTCTTATCGTCCTTCTGGACACCATAACCGGGATGGATCTTCCAGTCACAGCCATCGTGGGGTGGATGGTGGCTATGGAAGGGTGTCCCATACAGTGAATGGTTCAAAAGTAAGACCCTCATCTCCACGTTCTGTCAGCCCACTGCCCGGACATTACAAGCGAAAACGCAGTCCATCGGCTGATGCCAGACAAAGTTCTGATGAGTGCAGAGCGAAGAAATACAAAAAGAAAAAGAGAAACAAAGAAAGGCACAGGTGAGTCATTTTTTTTACTAGAATACTTTGTTACTGCTTTCTTTTGCTCTGGATTTATAGATTTATTCAAGAAAATCTTAAGTGGTCTTGTATTATAATTTATTATAAAAATATTTTAACAGCTGCTTCACTGCTTTTTAATTTGAAAAACTGTCATTGACCATTTAATATTTGACTGGGTGAGAATTTAAAACCATTGACTATTAAAATACTAGGCTAGTCAAATTATCATTGAGCGCGTTTACATGCATGTTCTTAAGCCGATTATGCTTAATAAACCGAAAACGCACGTGGTCAGGTAAACGCGGTAACCCGTTTTCTTTTATCGGAGATAGGTCATAAACGGCGTAAGCATAAACCGGTCGACACGGGTAGTTTTTTGCCTCTTACTCCGATTTTGCGTGGCATGTCGACGCAATGACTCGCTTTCTGTTGGTTTATTAAAGTGCGCATCTGTGGTGCGTGACTGGAACGCATGGTTAGGGCAGATTTAAGCGCATATACACAGAGCAAACATCTTGCAGTAAAGAAAGAAGGAAATGTATCACAAAAGCAGACTCTTCCGTGACTCAGAAAATGATAAAAAATGTGTTATCTCGTGCAGCAGAAGTAGAAGTGGTTCAGTCAAAATGCTGTATTTATAGCTGTAAATTTCTCGCTGACATGTTGCAAGCTTTATTTAACATCACAACTGACAAATGTATGGAATACTCGGAGTCAGATACACAAACGATTATATTTCGACATCAATACAGGAAAATAACCTGATTTATTAATGAAGTCATGTAAACGCAGCTACTTGTTTTGTTAGGTTACTGATGTGCATGTAAACGGGGAAACTGGTTATTTTAATAAGCTGATATTTGTGCGTTATCAGCTTACTGGTGTGCATTGAAACGTGCTCATTGTGACTTTTCACTTACAGGCACTCAGAGAAGGACCCATCTGAGGGCATTGAGGATAGTAGCTTCAAGAGACATAAAAAGAAGAAGAAGAAGAAAAAGAAGAGGAGGGAGGATGAGGAGAGGCCTCACACTAGGAGAGACTTCGCTCCGAGGCGGGAAGAGCATGATTCTAGAGCTAGGAATGGTGCAGAGAAAGGAAGTCTGCACCACAGCTCTGAGTCCCTTCACAATGTCCACCGAGACCATATGGAGGACCAGCAACAGCTCAGTGGACACAAAGGTGCTTAATATTTAACAGCTTAGACTAGATGTCTTTTTGGACCGAGCAAAGAAGCAGCAAAGCATGCTTCAGGCAATAGCGTACTTTTGTTTTGCACATTTTTACTCCCCTAGGTCACTTTTCACACTTAAATCAAATGGAGAGAAAAAACCAAAGCATGAATTTAACATTTAAAATTTCCATTGTGGTGATATTTTCATGGCAGCTAAATGCATTTCCACCCCAAAGTATTTTCCAGTGAGCACTGCTGAATGCAGTTTAAAAATTACGCATACATATGCAGTAATATACAAACATTTATATTTTGCAGTAATGATTTAATTTGGATGTTGAGGTGCTTTTTGATTGAAATATTGAAATCAATATTACAAATAACCCATGCTGTCTTTATTTTCCATCATGTGCCAGAAAAAAAATGTGTTTGTTTCATATAGAAGATATAAACGAGGCCTTTTGAGTGATATGATTTATCTTTGTGACTTTTCACATTGCATGGATCAAAGCTTAGTAGTCTCTTTCAGATAGCAGTGTTAACACGGAAATGTTCAAGTAAGCTGATGGTATCTTCTGATACATACCACATTAAATTGGTTGAACTGGTTTGCCGGTAATTGACTACATTTGCGATCTGGATTTTGCGCAAACCCTCCCCAGGCTCACATACATCCACAATCACACTTTTGATCTTGGCACAGTATTACACATTCACATGTAAATGTCATTTGGGAGAAAAAATTAACTAATGCTTTTTGTGTAATCTATTTTTTTTTGTTTGTTTTTTTCTTTCAGCTAATGGCCTGAGCTGTTACAGTGGAAGTGAGCTTGAGCATACTGGGATGTATAAAGACCAATACAAATATTTTGATTATTCTACCACTGTCAACGGCACAAAGACGCTCTCAAATGGAAGTGGAGATGTATGTCACAGGACCCTTTCAGATGTTGAAGTGAGTATAATGTAATAAAAATATATACAATTATGAAATTCAAAAACTAATTTGTTTTTCTTGCAATATACATTCATTTTGTATGTATGTTTTATGGTTGTTGTAGTTGCACAACTCTGACTGTTCTCTGGTTTTCACAGAAAGCCACACATCCTCACTAAAGGTAAGAAATGTTTATTTTATTAATTTTCTAAAAACAAAATAAGCTCCGCTCTAATCGTCCCCTCTCTCTTTATTTGAAGACTCTGAAAACCACCCATGCAAGCATGTGAAAAACAAAATCTACAGCTACAGTTCCTGACATGGTGCTTAACATTTAGAACATACTGTATTTTTACCACGAGATGAATTTTAAAGTTTTTTTTTTTAGTACACTGTACATAAATGAACTTTGATCATGGAAAAAAAAATTCTATATAAAGTTAATAATATATATATACGATTAAAACAAAAGCCTGGAGCTTAACATCAGAATTGCTGCTCAGACATACAGACTCAGGATTTTCTCACTTGTGAAGATGAGACAAGCGCTCCCTTTAAGGAATCGAACCTGGGAACGACAAGAACATTTATATGCTGCATCGGCGGAGAAAGACTGCTTGTCTCTTGGCTTCAAGTTATGATGTCACCATTTTCACGTATCGGTTGATAGAACTGTCTCAAAGGAGAAGCCTTTGCTAATGCTACATGTGCACTTACATCACAGTTAACCTGGTCACACTTGAGGACATAAGATGTTTGCTTTGCTGTCTCTTGTACCTCTCTTTTTTTAGCGTCTCACTGTATTACTCTCTGAAATTCCTCAAACCTATCTAGAATGCAAGTTCATTGCATCTTTTTTGTTTTTAATTCTCACTGTTTCGTTTTCTTGAATCCGCTTTGATTTTAGTCAAGATAATACTGTGAATTTAAGTTGAACTGTACTATCAGTTGTTTGTTTTTGGTCCTGTATCAGGAGTTCAATAGAGACACTTTCTGTAAAGCCTCTTGTAATGTAGACCATGTTCTCTGAACATGTCAACTTTTTTTTCTCTTCTTCAGCAAAACGAAACAGACATGAAAAATGGTTATATTCAACTTCATTTTACTGTAGCATGTCAAAGTAAATGTATACAGTGTACAATATGTTGAGTGAGAGGAAACGGCCTTAATGTCTGAAATTGTAATATTTTCTCTCACTATGTTTACAACATTTTGTTGGAGTGAATGAACATGTATGTGAAGTGTTTGTTTTTGTAAAGGGTGGGGTTTCCTTTTTACATATAAAGAATGATTTGTGATATTTTTGTTTTGTGAAAAATATCTTAATGTCAAAGTGCTGCACTTTTTTTTGTTCCAGCTACATTTCAGTAATCGTAACGCATAGTTTAAGACAGACTTTAATTTGCTTTTGCCCTATACACCAGCAAACCAGGCTATAATGGTCATTTATTTACATCTCAATACCAAAAAAAAACATACTGAAAGCAGCTTAATATAGAACTGCACGAAATTATTAATTACTAGATTAGGGTGCACAGTACTTGCAAAGCAATAACATGCAAAATGATTAATCTTTTCACTACTAAGTACATGAGAAAGAAAGAAAAAAAAACATTCATTTCCGCAGCTAATATTGGGATCCGTTATTAATATGAGCAAAATGGTTCGTTTAGTGATTTAAAGATGCTGTATGAAGAAATAATGGCCACATGTTCTTCAAGAAGACTCCGAACTCTTATATTGACACAAAATGTTGAACGAAGTATTTTTTAATAATTTATTTGTAATCATTTAGCTGTGATTGAGGGTGCAAGTGTTTTGAATAAAAGAAAGGATAAATAGTAAAGACATTTTCCAGACCCTTGGCTCATATTTACGAACTGTACAAATATTAGTGGAGAATTCGATGGCAATAGATTACAGCATCTACCATTTACCTTGATCCCTGGTGTACACCCACCTCATCTTTCCAAGTACAGTATATCGCACTGTAGCCTGGAGACCTCAAAGTGAGAGGAGCCACAATTATGCGGTGACCTTCAATTTAGTGGAGTAAAATTGAGGGTGGAGGGCTGCAGCTATACCTGTTACAGTGAGATGCAGGACAGGACAATACAGGACAAGCAGCTCAAGAATAATTGGGAGATATAGCTGCTATGTGTCTTTCTCTTAATGAAGTCAAATCTTTGCAGAATCTCAACATAAAAATGTTTTATTAGGTCAGTTGCTGAGGTCATGAGTTCAGGGCCAAAGGCTTCATTGACAGTAATGACAAACCTGTTTCATCTGAGATATCTGAATTACTATTTACTGACACACACAGGGTTCTGAAATACAGTCTTCAGAGCATGCTGCATATTTACCATAGAAATGTTAAGCAGAATACAAGTGACAATATTTTACTTATTATATTAACTATTATAATAATAATATCCAAACACTTTCCATAAAATTGTACAGGTATTCGATTTTAAGCTGGGTTTGGTTGCATATCGCTATGGTTTAGTCTGTCTTAACAGGTAAACTTAGAAAAGGGAGCCTCATTGTTTGTTGAATTTATGTCATAAATCGTATTCTCTATATTTCACTATGATTAGTATTGCTGTCCTATATGGAACTGGACAGTGATGACAGTGGACCGTGGTTAATTTAATTTAAATTATATTGATTAATTAATCTTTCGCAGTGTATCTATGAGTATTTCCTTTACACTTTGCAATAAACTATGAGAAATGAGTTTCATGTTTACAGAGCTATACAGCCTTCACTTAAAATATCTCAGCTGAATAGCTATATACAAAAATTGCATATACATCAATTTTAGATCCATGGAGTTTCCAAAATAGTTCAAATAATAAAAATAATTATGGCTTTTGTGATATTATTTGTGTGTGTGTGTTATTTACAAACATGGTAAAAAACAAAACAATAGGTTCAGTTAACATTGGCATTATTACATAAATACAACAAAATACTTATATTAACTTATATTATGGGTGTAAAGTATAGAGTTAGCATTATTCTTAAAAAGGCATCAAATAATATTAGCATATTTTCCTAATTAATGCTGGACAGTTGCTTTGACACAATCTGTATGGTTAAAAGCACTATATAAATAAAGGTGACTTGACTATTAAGAGAACGTCAGAAATTGATTTTTACATATAATAGGTCTATTAAGGACCATAAGTACGAAACATAATAAATATAATATGAATAATTTTCTCTTCCAATTAATGCAACCAGTCCGGCTGATTTGGATGATAATGATATGACACAAATGAAAATAAAATCATTTAAAACTACTGATGCAATTAAGATGATATTTGATATACCATAGCACTAAAAATGATTCAGCATGTAGACTTTTGACTTGAGAACATTTCCATAACGATACCTGGAAATTTGCAATAGCAGTTCCTGTTGCAAGCAGCAGGAGGCGCTACTTACTCTATATTAGACCGTCACATGAAATTAAGCAGATATTGTAGCACAGTCGAATCATTCATCACTCTTAAAGCAAAGTTCTTTCTGACAAACACACATCCAGCATATAATTGCATTATCACCATCATTGTTTTCTCCATACAGTCCATTTGGAGAGAACCTATACACCTATACAGGCGTATATACAGACCTATACAGACCCCATCATTTTTTAAATCTTGTCCTTCTTTATCCTCAGAGAGCTCATGTCTCTGTCTGTCTCCTCCAGCAACGTTCAGGATCCCATGTGAAGGTTTCCACTTGGAGAGTGATTAAACGTGAACTCGAAAGGTCTACGGCTCACTTTTTAGTGGCCACTCGCCGTTTCCTAGTAGCCAACATGTCGTAGAAAGGATCCCTGCTAATGCTTGCCCTGTAGGATAACAACAATAAAACAGAAACTGTACAATCACAGCATAAAAATATACATCCATATAAAACAATAACAGTATTTTCTGGAAGCAGTCGACCTGATTATAAAACGATACAGGGTTCTTTTATGTAGGGGTTGGGTGGCACAGAGTTTTTGGCAGTCCCACAGGACATGCTGAGGCAGCTTTTGATGTAAAACACCAGGCTAAACTGACCACAGAGCAGTTCCACAATTCCAGCTGAGTCAGAGGACATGTCTTAACTAGACACTTACATTGTAAGTTAACTACTGTACACAAATGGCCTTCAGAGACTACACAAGACCCAGAGTCTTGCAAAACAGCCAGAGTCATGGCCAACAATAAGAGACTAAGTGGTCCTTGGCTTCCCTTTCTCCAGTGATAAATGCTGATTTATCTTCAGGGAAGACCATTTAACCTTCAGAGGATGTGGGTCATTCAGAATTCATTATATAGTCTTGTCAGCCCTACAGTGTGAGGTTTATATAGGCACCACACTACGATATTTGATCTTGTTTTCCAGTAAAAACATACATAAAACAATTACATTTAATCCAAATTGTGATACTAAGATTTTTTCAGAGTTTGAAGGAGAATTATTATTTTAGCATCCACTCTAACAATAATATTTATTCAATTGTATTGTTTTAGATAAAAACCTCACAAAATGTTGTTACAATTGTGCTTAAAAAAACTATAAATACTATAAATAAATTCAAGATACATTATCTGAAAACAAATCTTAATATCCAATGCAATTTAAATTGGATTAGATATTTTTACAAGACAAAAATATTTTTTTGCAGTGCACAGCCAAGGTCTAAAACACTGGAAACACTCACTTAATCTTATCAGCACAATGGCGATGTTCTATGATAAAGAGAAGCCAATGTACCTTTCTGAGCATCTGTGGGTGTGTGTGTGTATGACCTACAACCAGCACACATCCGTTATCTGAGAAGAGAATAATGAGGGCTGACACGGTGAAGCCTTACTTGATGGATTTGATCCACTCTTCTTTCTCCTCTGGCGTGGGTGCGGATATTCTGTAAACCACGTGATTCCCCTCCACCACCTTCCCATCAGCCTCCGTCTTGCATGCCTTAATTACCTGCCCCTTATGACCGGGGTTGTAGAGCTCAAAGCAATTCTGAAAGGTTGAAGCATGAAACGGTCCCTTTTACTTCTTAATTTCTTGATGACTAATTTAGGATGACTAAATATAGGATTCTTCTTAAAGACTGACTACAGATTATAATTTAACTGAGCACTTCAAGTAGAAACATACTGGTTTTCTTGGTTCCTCCACCTCTCTTATACTAAGATTCTCCAGTGGAATGATCCCCCGAGGCTCTTTGTCCTGTGAACATATGAGTAACAGACCATTGATCCACAATGTTTATTTGGTATTAAAGCAATTAGTTTTAGACTTAATCCGCAATATGTTTCCTTTAACGAGATATGGATGGTGGGGACATTAAAAAAGTGAGGGAA